CCTCCCGGCAGGACAGAGCTGCTCCATACCCATGCACCCTCTGTGACCCATGCTGGCATCCCCGGGCACAGATCCTGACCTGAGAGGCAGCGCTGGGGGCTGCCCCCGTCCCCGTCCCCATGCGTGCCCTGTCCCATGAGACAGCAGGGACTGTGTTTTCGGGTGGTGGAGGTCGGTGGGGGCAGTGGGGTCAGCCGGCGGCGTGGGCCCCGTTTGCCGAGCCGAACAAAGGCGCTTTCTTTTGGCGCAGGCTCGGGGGGAGAGCGGCACGTCTGGAAATGAATCTGCCTGCGTCAGAGGCAGACGGCGGCAGGATAGGGGTTCTTCCAGAGGGCAGGAAAAGTAGCGGTGGTGGTGGCGGGGCTACGCCGGAGCTGCTGGGGAGCTGCTGCCGGGAGCTTTGCAGAGGTGAGACCTCGGGACCCCCATGCCCCCAGCTCCAGGTTGCCCACACCCATTGCCAGGAGGGTGCTGGGTGCCCGGGGCCAATGCATGGCCACCATCCTCATCCTGTGATGCCACCATGATGCCAGCGGTGCTGTCAGTCCACCCCACAAGCCAAATAATCCTCAACTTTGCAAAACTTTTTTTTTTTTTGACTCTGAAAGGCACAAAAATGCTCCATGGAAAGGTAAGAGAAGGCACATAGATGTTAAAGCAAAGAGTGAGAGACCTGGCACAACACCAATTTCAGCAGGTCGGTGTCGATGGCAAGTGCCAGGTCCTGGTCCCTCCCCACCATGCCTGGTAGAGCCAAAACCTTCCCACAAAAGTCATCTGTGTGACCCACCAAAACACAAGCAGCTCTGTGCTGCTGTACAGGCGTTGCTGGCACAGCTGTCTGTGCGTGTTCTGGCACCCAAACGCACATCCTATTTCCACGTGATGGATGTGCAAGAAAACGTGTTTGCCTGCCGAGAGGGGATGTGGATGGCAGGATGAGGTCTGGAGCAGGGCTGGCAGGGGAGGCGGGATGCTCAGATATGAGGCTGGCCAAGGAGAAACGCTGCCTGGAAACGGGCTTGGCTGGACCAGGGCTGCGTTTGGGAGGAAAGCTGGTATGTGGGTGTGTTAGTGCATGAGGACGTTGGGCTGGGGAGTGTGTTGAAACAGAAAGGTTTGATTTTTTCACTTGAAATGGCTTTTCTGATCTCTCGGGATATGAAATTAAATGTTACCAAAGTGAAAAAAAAAAAAAAAAAAAAAAAATCAGCACTAACCATTCCTTCCCACCCTGAAAAATCCCCTTTGCAGTCACATTTTTTTCTTGCTTGTTTGTTTTTCAGCCTGGGCGCAAAGCTGTGCCTCAGAGGCTCACATGTCCCTGTGGCTCTGCTGGCCCCAGGCTGTCAGGCGGGAATGGCCTTCGGGGAGCCGTGCTGCGGGGATGCTCCTGGCCAGGGATGCGCCGGCGTGTGGGATGACAGCAGTCGCATTGCCTGGTGTTTGGAGGGAGGAAGAAAGCTCATGGATGTAGCTCCGTGATCAAATGTTAGAGGAGTGCAACCAAAGAGCACCTGATCCTGCAGCGGGGGATGCCTGTGCCCAGGGACCACGAGCTGGTGCCCCCCAGTCCTGCATCCCAGTTCTCGGTGGGAGCAAGGGAACGGTCAGCACAGGGGCAGGGGGGATGCTCCAAGGCTGATTTATGTCATCACACCTGATCCGGCATGACAACACAGTTGTGTGGTGGGAAACTCCTACAGGTTTTCCTTTTGCAACTGTAAATGAAAAGAGCAGTTTGTCCACAGGCCAGCTCTCGAGAGAAGGATGCTTCCAGCCGTGCAGGGTTTTCTGGGCCCCCACGGGTGTGGGTGCAGGTGAAGGCTCTGGGTGCTTGAGGTGCTAAGCCACGTGTGAGTCCCTGGAACAGGCTGTGCCCCTGCCTGCCCTGCCTGTCCCTGAGCAGCAGTCAAGAAGGATTTGGATCCATACCCATATTCCCACAGAATTTACCCCCTGGATTCCCAATTTTTATTCTTTCTGGGAGTATTTGGTTCATTTTGTTCCCAGTGAGGTGTCCCAGCTATCCCACACTGGCCACTGCATTCCCAGTGCGACTCTCCCCATCCCCTCTCATGGTGTAAGGGGCACCCACCCAGGGGTGCAGATGCTGACACCCCCCGGGAGGGTGTTGGGCCAACCTGCTCCAGGCATTGCCCTGTCTCTATGACTTCCCAGCTCCCTACGAGCCCCGGGAGTGCCCCGAGCCCCAGACACCACTGATTAGGGACGTTTAACATTCCTCCTAATGCCAAAGGGATATTTTATCAGCAGGTTTTTTTTCCTGCAGACTATTTTCTTTTCATGAAAACATTAAATGGCCTGAGAGATAAGGAGCAAATTTATAGCAGTTCACACCGAAGCAGCCAAGACACTGGCAAGGAAAAAATGCCTTCCCTCCCGCTACCCGCCTTCCCTCGCATGCTCCCCACCCTGGCCGCTTCCTCTCATTCTCTCCAAATTCTCCTGACTCCCACGACAAGCTCGGCCGCCCCGTTCTGGCTCTTCCTGCCCTGCAGCAGAGCTTGCTGTGAGGTTGCCCGCTGAGCTGGGGGCTGTGGCATGAGGAGGTGCTGGCACCGTCCTGCTCACCATTGCCCCGGGGATGCTCACGAGGACTGCCTGCATCCCAGGGTGATGCAGCCTCATGTCCAGAAGCCCTGGCACAAGGGTGGATCCAGGCTGTGCAAAGCCTGCCTCGCCTTAAAAACGAGCCAGTCTAAAACTGGGTTGATGCTCACCATGGGTCTGGGTGAGACCTGCAAGGCCTCCCCTTCCCTCCCCCAATAAAGCATCCCTTGTTCCGTCCCTGCTGCTGGGAGCTGCTCAGCAAACCAGTCCTGGGGCTCACAGAGCTGTAATGTTTAACTTACCAAAATCTGCAATAAATTTTCCTAGCGGCCCCCAATCAGCTGGCCCCCGTCCGCTGGCGCTGCAGGTTTACGAGCTCTGAAGAGCTATAAAGACGTTTTACTGGCTGCGTTTTTTATTTCAAATTAGAGTGTGACTGGATAAACACCGGACAAAGCACCGATTTACCGGGCACCCTGTGTAATGTGGGGCTGGGGACTTGGGGACAGCCTGAGCTGCAGCCCCGTGGGATGGACAACACATCCCCTCACCCCGGCTGAGCTGGGCTGATGCCTTCCCCCCCCTCCACAGCCATCTAAAAACACAAGGGCTGGAGAAGGGGAACCCACTTTGGGAGCCCCAGTGGGTGCCAGGACAGGGAGTGGGCTTGGATGAAGAGCCCCAGTGCTGAGGGCTCCACCCGATTTGGGGAAAACAGGGTACAGCAGTGGTCCCCTCTGCCTCAAATCCCACTTGGAGGTTTGCCACCAGCTGATGTCCGGCCCAGAAGGTCAAAGCCAACACCTCTTCTATGGGTCTAAGGGAGGGATGCAATGCCAGGGATGCCCCTGTCCCACGTTGAAGTGGCCAATGGGATCTGCAGGGAGCAGTGCCAGCCACCCTCTGTGCTAGGGACCTGGACATGTCCCTTCCCTGCTTGTAAAAGAGATGTCACCCTGTTTTACAAGCACCATGGCCCGTCCCCAGGTGCCACGGAGGGACATGGAGCAGGGGGAACCGGTGAAGAGCATGAGGCTATCAATTGCAGATATTTTCAGCCCTCTCCATCAGCACCTCCACTGCTCGCTGCTCTGGGGATGCTCTCTCGTCCTCGGGGTGTGGGCAGGGAGGGGACACGCTGCCAGCCTTCCCCAGCCCCGCTTTGCCACTGTTAGTCACAGTTCTGCAGCACAGCGTGGCTTTGCCCTGTCCCCAGGATGGGAGGCCTATTTGGGATCTCAGACCCCCAGGGAAGGTGGAGCTGGTCCCCCCCACTTCACAGCAGGGATACCCAGCAAGTTCCAAAACCAGGGACATCCCTTTCCTGGCCTAGGGGGGTTGACTGCTCCCGTGGAGAGACAAAATCACGCAGCAGGGTGATCCTGGTGAAGCTGAGCAGTTTTCCAGGCCGTAATTAAGGGTTCCCCCCCTGCAGGGAAGGGTGTTGGTTCAGAGGGGCAGCTTTCTGCCCCCTCCAGCCCCCCAGGACAGACATGGTGCCCCAGAGCCAAGCACGGGGCCGTGCTCCCAACCGCTACGAGCGCTTGAAGCATATAGGTGGTTAATGCCTTCAGCATGTATGAAATATCCCATATGCTGGGAAACAAAAGGGGCTCTGTGCTATTAAAGTTTCATTTCCCCACTCCCCTCCTCCCGCCCCTCTCCCCCCTGTTCACCCTGCCCTGCGCGGCGCGGCTGGAGGAGAGCAGGCGAGGAGACGTGGGCGCTGCGGCCCCCAGCTCCCAGCCGGACCCCGGGGTCCAGGCATGGTGGGGGCACCGTGGCCTTGACCCCCACCTCAGGCTCAGCTGGAGCACATGGAAAGCAGAGAGCTTTGCTTCCTCGCAGGAGAAAAGGGAAGAAGCAAGAGGTGAGTGTGGCGAGTATGAGCATCCCTGGGCTTACCGGAGTTGCCCAGGGCTCTGTGGCTGTCCCAGCAGGATGCTGGCTGGGGATGGATCTCGGTACCCGCGGGGGCAGTTGCAGGACACACTCCTCCGGCACCGACATTGGCAAACTCCAGGATGGAGGGGCCTCCAGGCAGAGCGGAGGGTGGAGATGGGCTTCCCCAACACCCCCGGCATGTTTTCCCCATGACAGGGGCTCTCTTGGCTCCTCGGTCCTGCCCGGGATGGAGCCTGTCCTTGGCTGGTGTGGGCTGGGGGTTTGGAAGGGGGAACAGCCCTTTTCCCCAGGATCCCCCCGTAGCTGCTGAGGAGAGGATGAGCTGCTGTGGAACTGTGCTGGAGGGGAGAGAAGAGGCGAGGAAAGAAAAGGGAGAGCAGTGCTGAGCAGGGGGCTTGGTGGCAGCAGAGCCAGCCCAGGGAGGCAGCCCGGTGCCCTGGGGGGACCCAGACACCCCATCGGTGTCCCCTTGCAGGGACACCCCTTCCTTGTGGCCTGGGGGTCCACAGGGTTTGTCTCCAGCAGCTCCCAGGGCTGCCAGTGATGGTCCCCTGGGCTCCTGAAGGGGTTAAGAGAGGAAAGGAAAAGCAGAGAAAGAAAACAGAGTTGGGAGAGAGCGGGTCGGTCAGGGGCTGTTTGCACTGGCTTGGATGTATCCTCGGCATGTTTATTCCTACTGCACAAGCACTTTTGCCAGAGCGAGAGCCAGACTGCTGAGCACGCTGCACACACACACACACACGCTGCTTCTATTGCTCATGCATGCACAGCCCCATCCTAAAATGCTTCCCAGTCGCACCCTTCTTCTACCTTCTGCCCATTTCCCTGTGTTACAGATAGCACGGGGACCCCTCTGAGGAGCGATGGCTGGTGGCCGTGCCCCAGCCTCAGGGACCCCCGGAGCCCAGCCGAGGGACAGGGCTGCTCTCCTGCCCCTACCCAGCCTGTCCTGGCCGGGTTCGCAGCCTTGGGTGAGCTGGATGGAAGCAAACCTCATGTCCCAAGGCCACCAGCCTGCTGTGCCGCTGGAGCCAAGGCCTGGGAACGGGCATGTGCTGGGATTTGGCTGCTTTCCTGGGCTGGAAAGAAAACACCCCCCTCCCCAGGATGCTCTTTGTTTCCCATGGACTGCCCGTGGGGCTCAGGGGGGCCAGACCCTGTGCTGGGGTGCACTCAGCCCCTGTCTCCTCACTGTGCTACTAAAATGTCCTTGATCCCAGTCGTGGCTGTCCCCAGGCCATGTACATCTCTCTCTCCTCTCGGGTCCCATCCTGCATCTTTGGGATCAGAGCTGGGGACCAAGGGACTGGCCAGGGCTGCGGATGCGGGAGCTGGTGGGGAGCTGCTCCCCCTCTCTTAGCAGCATCATCCTGTTCCCCATCCGCCTCCTCCAGGCTTTAGGGCTTCAGGGATGCCTGGTGGGGGGTGTGACAGTGGGGAGGATGGGGCTGCCAGGGCTCAGCAAACCTCAGTCGAGCTGCCGGCTCTGCCATTGACCTTACATCTACACGTGGGCAGGTCGAGCGCCGTGATCCCGGCAGCCCTGGGTCATGGCCCCTCGTTTGTCTGCTCGGGGGAAGCTGGGGGGGCTGTGACAGTGGCAGACATCGCTGTGAAATCAGGCAGCAGCTCACGCTGTGCCACCCCCGGGATGGCCCGGGAAGCTCAGCAGGCCCTGGACCCTGGAAGGCTGAGATGCTCTGGCTGTCAGTCATCCCAGCTCAGGCGGCCCCAAATGTGCAGAGGTTGCTTAAACTGGCTTTTCAAGCCCCTGTGGGTTTTTCTGCTTAGTTAATGGGTCCTGTTTTATGTCTGCTGAGGCTGAGCCGCCTGAGGCCAACACAGCTGCGGGATGAGCCCCAACCCTGCTGCAGGATGAGCCCTAACCCTGATGCAGGAGACTGCCCTGCCCTCCCCAACGAGGCAGGTTTTTGGCACAACTGACAACAGGCATCCTGACAGCCGGGGGTGACCCCATCCCCACCGTGCTCGCCTCCAGGAGTGAGATTTTGTTTAATCAGCGAGCATTCATCATCACTCCCCAGCAAATGTTCAGCAGTATTGCTTGGGAAAGGCATGAAGGGGCAGTCACGCCAGCCCTCCCTCTGGCATCTGCTGCTGGAGCTCTGCAGGGAAATCTGGGTGTGGGACCTGCTGTGCCAGCGAGCCGGTGGCTGCACCATTCCTGCGCGATGGGTAACGAAGATGAGCTGCTTGGGGCAGGCAGGGGTGAGCAGAGCCGAGGGGCTGGGAGCTGCCTGTACCCATCTCGCCAAGCTGGCTCCTTGTGGCATGGTTTGGGTCTGCTGTGCAGCCGTGGAGGTGCCAACCGTGGGGAGAGCCGAGCTGCACTGCCAGCCGGACCACTGGACCCCAACCAGAGTGAGCCTCCCTGCCCTCCCTCCACCCAGCCAGCTGCCACGGCTTCACATGTCCCAGGGCTGGAAGGAGCCCCCAGTTCATCACTCAGCCCCGAGTGGGTTTATAGAAGCGGGGATGGGCTTCCCCGCCCTGGCCACCCCCAGCCCAGAGCTTGGTCTTTAAGGTTGTCTTCTCTCTCAGATCAACCTGGTTTTACGTTTCAGTTGAGCTTTGAAAAGGCTGAGATGCATTTCATCCCTGGCTTCCCACAGCCAGCTGACAGGGCTCCAGCTGACCGCCCTGTGTCCCCGAGCTGTGGTGGCCAGGGGTCCCTGGGAACAGCCACCCACCTCGGTGGCACCTTGGGCTTGCACTGGGCTGCAGCTGGTGGGACCTGCGGTCTGCAGCACTTGGCAAACCTGGTGATTTTCTCCCCAAAACTGCACTGAGAAGGGCTCAAGGCAGCTGTGACAGCTGGGCTGGGGCTATCCTCCACCCCAGACACAGCAGCTGAAGCTGAAGTCAGGGTCCAAGATAAGCAAAGGGTAGGACGCTGGGACCTGCCCTGCGCAGGGCTGTGCCGTGCAGCCAGGGTGTGGGCAGCTCCCGGGATGGTCCGGATGGGACCCCAGGTCAGATGGCCCCGTTAGGGATGATGGGAAGGGGTAGACTGACTTCTGAATCCAGCCAGGAGGGCTGAGCAAGGCCGGTGTTGCTCTGCTCGTGTACACAGACTAATGTTTGATGGATGTAAATCCCTGTGGAGCATTGGGGTTCGCTGGAGCGCACCCCAGCCTGGGGCTGGGAGGTGGTTTGAATGGTGGGAGGAAGGGAGCGGGTTTGCTGAGTGCCATAACCTGCCAAAAAACACCCCGGGAACCAGGGTGGTGGAGCGAGTGCAAACACCCACCGGGGCTTGATACGGGATGTTTGTGCCAGGGTACAAAATGCATTACACCCCAAATCCAGCTCAGCCTGCATGGTGCTGCCCTCCAAGGAGCCAGCATCCCCCCCGCCCCTGTCCTCCACCCCAGCCCTCTCTCAGCCTCCTCGGTGCCCGGGAGCAGAGAGGTGAGCTGCCCAGGGTGACTGCTCTCCTCCCTGAAGGTGGAGGGACAAGCCCAGGGCCTGCGTGAGGAATCCTGCAGCGGTGCAAAGGGCTGCAGAGCAGTGCAAAGGGCTGCCCCTGCAGCCACGGGAAGCGTGGGGTGGAGGAGGGAGAGGACATGGTCCAGCTGTCCAGGATGCCACTGTCCTCCTCTTCCCTTTCTCTGCTCACTGCTTAATAAGGACAATTCCTCTGGTGCCCCGCAACCCCCGTACCGTCCCCGGGCATTTCTCCTGCCACTTCTCCCCACCAGCTGTGGGCAGAGGATGAGGGCACAGCTTGGTGTGGGCACCCACGTGCCAGGACCGGCAGCCCATGTCTCCACAGGCAGGCTGGGGCGCTGAGGGCCACGGGGGTTGCACGGGGACAGGCGCTCAGGAATGTTGTTTTTTCCATCCCAGTTTCCGTCAAGGTAGTAAATCAGTGCTGCAAAAGGCTTTTGTTTTTTCCCCAGCACGCTGCCGGCTGCTGTGCCTGCCAACCCCTGCCTCACCCGCAGGAGCCAGGATGCGGCCACCCTTGCCCACACTCCCAGGGCTTGCTCCGGGGACAGGGTCCATTCTGGCCTGGCAAGGCTGGGGACGTGTCATGCCAAGGGAGGTGACCTGGCATCTCCTCTCTCATCCTGGCAGGGATTTCCAGGGAAGCAATCACATCACATCTCAGCTTCCTTGCTCCCCTTCCCTGGGTGCTGGATGCCCACAGAGAGCCCTTGGCCCCTGTCGCGAGGGTTTTTCTCCATCCATCCTGCACAGCCCAGTCACGTCCCTCCTGTTGCCATCCCCTCCCAGCTGGGAGCAGTCCCAGTTTCCCATGGAAGGATGTTGGGGTGGCACAGAGTGACACGGAGCTGGTCCCAGCCCTGCACGGCTTTGGGGTTTAGCAGTGAGGTCCTTGTGCAGTGGGGTCACCCCGCAGGCAGCTCGGCTGTGCCTCCCCCCAGCACGTGGCTCAGCAGCACATCCCGGCCAGGTACCCGGGGAGCTGGGGGGGATATTGGATTGCAGCAGATGGGAGAGTGTCCGGGCACAAGGTGACTCAGGCGCGACTCCAAATGCCGCTGGGTGACAGCTACACCGCAAAGACGTCTCCCGTATCAGTTGTGGAGGCAGTGCTCCCTTAAAGAAACACGAGGACCCCCAGGGACATGCAGTTGCCCTTCGGGGATGCAGCTGACCCAGGCTCCTTGTCCCATGTGGTGTCAGCGGGGGAAGGTGTCACGGTGGGGAGAAGGTGCCACGAGTGGAGAAGGTGCCCAGCTTCCCCAAGGGGACATTCAGCTGCTGGCATGGGAACGGTGTAAAGATCCCCAGATGTATACGTTGCAGTAGGACTATTTTGGAAAAGGACGGAGTCGATCTTGTGACCAGAGCTGGGGACTGCAAGTCTGGACAGCAGGGTCCTGCCTGAGTGACAGCAACCCGCTGCCTGACCTCAGGGAAACCTGAGAGTCCCCGCTGTGCTGGGGACAGCTTTCGCACCCCTTCCCGCCTCCCCGTCCTGACTTGTTTAACGATGATGAAAACCAAGTGTTGGGCAGTGATGTGGCTGGGGACAAAGTGGGAAACTGGGGACAGAGCCCAGGCTTGGCTGCAAATCTGACCCCCACGCTATGTCATCCCTGTGGCTGGGCCACCCGTGGTCCCCAGGGCTGTCCTGGAGGTGCACCCCATTTTTTTTACAGCCGTACCACCTCCTGCTCCTGTGTTGTGGCTGGGACAGGAGCAGCCCAGGCCACCACGGTCCCCTGGGTCCCCTGGGTGGGTGCCGGGAGCAGATGGAGATGGAGACTTTCTGCAGGCCCTGTCTCTCTTGGGTTCGACAGCCTGAATGCCAGCAACGCCTGCCAAAAATATTTGTGTGGGAGGTGAAAAGTTAACTTTAGTTTTCCTTTTTTCAATGGCGGGGGGGTGGCAGGGTGTGAGAAAGGCAGGCGGGGGGGGGCTGTGCATCACCCGCCAGTGAGTGGGCAGAGAAAGATAGCTGAGCAAAAGGTCTCCCTGCTGCCAGATTTCAGCACTTTATGAATTGAAGGATTTTTTTATTATTATTCTTCCCTCCTCTGGCACCATTTTGCAGCTTCTCATAGAGACTCTTTCCTGCCAGTGAGCGTGAGGTACTTCCCTGGGGTGGCATGGCCAGGCAGTGGCTTGCTGGGGCTGTGAGCTGAGCACCAGTGCTCGACGCAAGCATCTCTTGCTCCCCAGTTTGGTGCTTT